CTACAGCTTTAGTAACCTTCTTATTCCATAAACCAGCAGGGATTACAAGCAACAAAAATTCCAGAGACCAGAAAAATACTACTGTAACATTTGAAACATATCAAAGATGACAACAGGTGCTTATCAGGCAAAGATGATATATATGTCCTTGCCACTTTGCTAGGCCAGCCTGCCCACAGTTTACCTTTCCTGGTATCTGTTGACTCTGATCTATCATATCTATACTCATTTACAATCATTCGTGTACTAATCTTGTTTTGTTGTTAAATATGAAAAAAACCCTGTCCTAGGGGGTTGCTCTTGCTAAGAAGCTGCCATTTTAGAACCAGTTTTCATTTATCTGAATCACAGCCACACACTATTATACAATGTATAGCTATCATTAATACTTAGTGCTTCAGACCCTTCCTCATGCTTTATCCATTTTTATAAATTATTATTTTAGGATACTTTGCAACCCTCTAGGCTACTCTTCTTAATTCTTCTGTTTCCTCTCTGTCTTCAAATGCCCCTTTATTTCTCACAATTATTTAGACATCTATCAGTCCTGGTTTAGGGCTCCTCAGCTGGAATGCAATGTATTCAGGCTATTGTACATCATGGAAAACAAGTTACTTTTTTAAAATGCAATTCTCAAGCAATTTTCCCAAACTCTGCAGTGAATATTTTACCCCACTGGGCTTGTAGCATATTGTTACAAGTCACATAATGTCAAATGTGTTTAAAATAATTTCTGTTAAATGCCTCCAGCAAGTGTAATGAGATGGCTGCCAAGTTCATTTAAACAGCCTCCACTTTCCAACCTTTAAAGAGCAAGACCTCCAAATGTTTCTGCCCGCCTATGTAATCCATAAGGTTACAGTCACTCCCATTAAGGCGCAAGGTAAGTCTGCAGCAGGACACAAATCCTAAGCCATAGAGTTGGCAGATGGACAGATCAGAGATCTACAGGAAATAAACTGGGTCATAACTCATAAAACAAAAATGTGAGAAATCAGCAGTACAGTTAGCACAAAAAACATTACAGTCAGTAGAAAAATTGCCACAGGTGTCACCAAATCAGGCTCAACTGTTACTTTCCATGTGTGTACATATGTATGCTGACTTCAGTCTCACACAGAAATTAGAGACTTAAACTGCAAACTATTTCTCTGCTGCCTTTTTTTTTTTTTTAATAAATAGCCTCCAAGCTTGCAGACTTTCACAGAAAAGACCTTCTAATAAAACTCTGAAAATATCTATCATCACTGTAAGCATGCATCTGAGTGTACTTTTGTTAGAATTTGGCTCTAGGCTATTTCCAGGAGTACAACAATTTTCCATGAAAACAGCTAATTAACTGTAACTACATCATGAAATCTCTCCAGGAAAAATACATCAGGAAAGAAATAAGTTACTATATCACCTATCATTCACATATTTTTATCATTAATTATAAGCTATGGCAAGCCCTAGCTTGAAATTCAGATAGATATTTATTCACGTAAGGAACATGCAAGTTTACATTCTCAGTAATTATGCCCAGCTACTGGCCTCTAGTAAATGATGAGATGCAAATTGTAATGTCCAAATCACCAGTGGTGTTTACTGGGAGTTAAAAAAAAAAAAAAAAAATCACACACACACACAAAAGGTGAATGGCCTTAGTAACACAGAAAACATATTAAAACACCACCTAAACACATTCTCAATGGTACTATGCACAAAAGATCTTCAATTATCCACAGACAGATTAAATACATACAAAAACTACACACTATCTTCTGGTTGTCTTTTGGTTTTTTTCTACTTGTAAGTACCTCCAACGGCAGAGAAAGGAGGGTCCTTAAAAGGGGCTTGACATAACATTTCACTGTTGTCTTCTAACTTTTGTGTCTTTCCTTAATTAAGGAACCCAACCTTCAAATCATTAAGGAAAAAAAACTCATTCTGGGAAAACAATAGAAAGCTGGAACGCAGCTCTCACAGCAACATCAAGGATGTCCAATATAAACATTGACTTGAATATTAAGATTTATATGTTTACATTTGTGATGCTAAGTCTCTCCAACTTCTATGTATTAGTAAATCTCTGATATTTCTGATGAATACTAGACAATGTGTAAGTGCAATTTTAGGATCAATAAATAAGTCAAAAGCCACTAGAAAGTTCCACTGGGATTGTGACTGCTGAAAATATGGCCCTACAGAAAAACAGAGGAACACAGTGATTAATAACTTTAAGTTTGATTGAATGAAGATGAAGGTGGCTGTGATAGGAAATAAGGTTATGCATATAATGCAAAGCCTTTCTATTTGAACTTTAAAAAAGAAATACAACAATATAATTTAATACGATAGGAAGGAATCGGGAATCAGACGTGCAAGCACACACAAAGATTTCTATCAAGCTGTATAGCGCAACTATTGATTGGGAGCACCAAAAGAGCAGAAGTTGATGAATAATTTTGAGATATATGCCATAAAACATGAAGAACTATGGAAAACAGATGTAAGCAACATGAAATCTTGGTTGACTGGATGCCATCTGCATAGACAACTATGACATTCTAGCTAATACTGATTCTACAGGTTTAATTTTGCACAAAATCATTTTGCAAGTATTGGTGTTCTTGACATGAGGAAAATGAGGTTATGAAGTTTAATGGGATGAATACCTGGGGGAAGGGGGGAGAGAATAAGGAAGAGAAAGTTGAGAAAAATTATTCAGAATTTGACTAACAGGTAAGACACTCAAAGTCCCAAAGGCTACGTGCAAAAATACCAAAGTGCAGCGAGAGAAAATGGATGAAAACTATCACAGAAGAACTCACTAGAAGTTGGACTGATAAACATTTCTATGGATTCAGAAGCATAAACTTCATTATAAGGGGAAAAAAAGGAGAAGCAAGGAGCGTTTATAGAAGAGCAAAAATAGGGAGATGCCAGTTTAAAAAAAGTATGGTTTGCAGAGAAAAGAAACTTGGTATAGCACTAAAGAACATACAGCAGATAACAACAAAGTAGTATCCCATAGCCTGAAATTAACACTCAAAGCTAAATATTAACTATTGTTTCAGAAGGGCATGTGGTGTAAATTCTGCTTTGATGGAGAGAGACGAGAACACTGAAAGACTGGCAGGAACTTGCAAGCTCATATACTACCAGGAAGATTAAACTTAACCACTGCAGAGCTTGAGCTGTTTGGCACCACTTTCTTTCACTGAAATACTGGGTATAGGGGCTGTGAATCTACTAAAACTACACCATCCTACTCAGTGGTCCAGGAATGAGTACCTAAATGGGCATGACAAGAAGATGCTCTTGTTTAAATTAAAACATAATTGTTCCCTTGATCCAATTAGACAGTCACACTCTGCTGCAGAGTATTGACTGATTGTGCAAAGCAATCTCTGACATTTGCTAGTGATTATAAAACTCTTGTGACAACACAGGGTGAATGGGAAGTGGGAGGGTCTAAGGAAGTTTCTTTTGAATTGTGAATAAGTGATCAATATCCAAAATAAATTAAGAATGAACTAGAGACCTACAACCAAAAAGTTAGTGTTCCACTCGCCAGCCATACTCACAAATATGAAACACATTGTTTGAATGGAAAGATCATCAATTAGTTCATTATGTGCTTATCACAAGGTAAATGAACATCTATCTGAACAGCATTTTTAACCTGATGAATCATAGAATCTTCTAGGTTAGCAGAGACTTTTAAGATCATCAAGCCCAGTCACTGAAGGATGAAAGAAGGAGCAGCTCATAATGCATTTCGTACCTACAGCTTTTCAAACAATGGCAACTATATGTGAAAATGCAAAATTTACTAAAAAGGTTACATGATTTCTAGAAACTACATAAATAATTAAATAAGGGCAAAGAATAACATCTAGTTCTATCAGTATGTAATAGAAGGAAGTGAAAGGTGGTATCTAGCCTTGAGTAAACAAAGCACATGTCACCACATTAAGCTTCAATGAATATTAAATATTCATAAATAATATACTTAATTTCAGCTTTCATTTCAAAATATTTCAGTACGCCTATAGAGCCAAAACCTTATGTCTGTATGCACAGCTTCAAGTGCATAAGGAGCATAAAGTCTTGTGTTCAACAGTGTATAGAAAGACATTCAAATAAGTAACCCACGACTGATCTCCATTAAATCACTGTCACTCCTCTTGTTTTTAATGGGGTTTTCTATTGGTTTAGATTTATTTCACAAAGTTCCAGGTTAACTCCATCACATAATCTGATGATAAAATTACTGCTTATAAATGCAGTGGAGATACCTCTCCAGTGGAATGCAACAGCTGTTTAATAACTCACAGAAAATTGCACAACAGCTGAGGACAACAGTTGAAGAAAACTAATTCAGCCTTCATCTGCAGGAGGAGTTTAGCTAGGATGGTTGTTTGTACCCAAACTGAACTTTGGAACAATATCATAAGCCCACAGAAGTTCATCATCAAAAAAACCACAAAAAACCCCCAAAAGAACAGTGATTTTAATCAGAACATTTTCCTTACTAACTTTAATTCACAAAGTGTGTTTTTATTTTGCTGCAACTTTTGTATCTGCATTTACACAAGTAACAACCTTCAGTGTTTCAAACAGCCCTATAATATTAGCATATTCAGAATGTGCTTTCCAGTAATTCCTATTATTTACCTAGGCTTAAAATGACCTCTCCAGCAGCTAACCCTTACAGCGAAAAAGGTGGATCTGAACAGAAATTGTACGTTTCTTGGTCTGAATATTAATCATATTCAGATTTGCTGAGTCTCATTATCAACGAGTCTCTTGATATTAATAAAAAATTGTAAACCTGAATCAAAGCTGGTCCTAAATACTGCTCTCCTAAAGGTCTGCTCCTACCTCTATGTGGGGGAAGGATTCAGTGAGTCACAAAATCAGCAAGAGAAGGTGTGCAATGTGATAATAATGCATTTGTCAACACAAAATCTGTTCAGGCTTTATTTATAGAGATATGATTGTCATGGACTTACCTGTAGGGGATCCCTCCATGACATGACCAACGTAGGGTCCTTCTTTGAACATTGGCCTGTTGTCATTTTGATCAATAACAGAAATATCTAGGCGGACTGGACCATCAATGGTTTTCCCACTTATATCTGTGACCTCAACTTCAAGCTGTAGGAACAAAAAGAGGAATAAATTCATTTAGTCCACTACCAAAGTGAGCAAGAAAAAAATAGCTCAGATCAGTGCTGCCGTAACCAGACCCTGGCAAAGATACCACTTGCAGCCCATCCTTTTGGACTAAGCTCAGGGCAGATTTTCAGACTAATAAAAGAGAAAGACAGCTGTACATTAAAATCAAGGTACCTCTTGGCAGCTTGAAAATGCCATATTCCCTGAAGAATGAAATGACTAGAGTATAAGGAAAAAAAAAAAAAGGTAAATTTAATGTTAATCATGTGAAGATTTGGCTGTTTACTTTTTTTTCAAACACATTTAGAATGGACACATAGAACTATCACAGTATAACTGACATACATATCTCCTAGTGCAAAGCAAGAATGCATTAGATCTATTAAATACATTTTCTCAATGGTGATGGCATGAAGTATTATGTTAGGTAATTTTGACAGTTCTCCAGCTTTTCTAACAAGGTATGGAAGAACAGAACAACATATGCAGTCTTATATAAGCAGGTGTGTATATGTATATATATATACACACACATACACACACTCACATCCCAGTGTATGAAAGCAACTGTTGAACATAAAGCCAACATATGCAGCTGAAAGTTTGTTTCAACTTTCTTTACTTCCAAAAACTGGAAAGAAAGATCATACCAAGTATCTCAACCCTCCCATCCACTTGCAATGGAAAGTCTCAATAAGTTACAAAAACTTAGTCATTAGGGCAAACCATGCCAAAACTTCTTGGATAATAGAAAAGGAACTGCTATACCTGCAGTTCTCTCTCCTCTCCAAGATGTCAGTAAAACACAGCAAGAAAAATACCAGAGACACAGCTATCATTTTCACCTTCCCTACCTGTCCCTGGACTCAGCCCTTTAATGGAGTTAAGCCAGCCAGAAAATGAACCTGAGCACAGGCATTAATATCACCCTCTTCCAGTGTTTCCCTGAGAAAATGGTAGCAGCAGGGGCTGGAAGTCTCTGAGCATTTTGTGTATTCTGTTAATTTATTCTTCATTTCCATGTCTTATACGTCTAAGTTATTTATAAGGTAGTGATAAATCCTGCTGAGAAAGAATTAGGTCAGAATTCTAATTCCTTATTAAAATGGATGGCTTATTAGCACATCTATGTATTTTATTATGCTTACAAATAAATTCCACTTTTACAGTTCCATGTGCAGAGTGTGCGGAGTATTTGTTATGAGTAAACTATCTATCTACTCACATACACTACTTGTAAATAGTGTCAGAGTCCATTTTAACATCTACTCACTGCTTATCCTCACCTCGCTAGCAATTGTTCTGGCAAGTATTTTCCCAGCTGATATAGAGCTTAACAGCATAAAAGCAAACAAATACTCTGTTGTGAAGACAACTGATGCATGTAGCATTGGCAGAGCTGAAGCCTTATGGGGGCCCACACTGCTGCAGTTTCCAGGGATAGTTTAACAGTGGACTCTAAAGCCAGTGCAGAACTTGAGGACTGATTAGGATGTGATGGGGACTAGGAAGGAAAATGCACTCTTATTACCGAAATACATTAAAGCTAGATACAGTTTCAGATACAGTTGGAAACTGCTGACAAAAGATTTGTCTTAGTAAATGTTGACTCATCAAAACCCTGTTAATTGCTTTGGAAAATGGAAGAATAGCAATATTTCTGTGTGAAATTCCAGCAAATTCATTTTCAAATTCAAGATAATTTGCTCTTAATCTATCTCTCAATATTAAGTGGCTGTACTGCTCACTGGGGAGAACAAAGGCTTTGCTAAATTTAAAAAAACTTCTTCAGCTGCTTTATCAGAATTGCAAGTCACCCAAAGCAAAGGCTGGTCTAACACCAGAGGTTATTTTTGCAGACTTCCACAGATTAAGCAAGAGAATAAGAGATTTTTATTAACGACTGAAATAGTTTTACTTTATTATCGCCAAGTCCACTGCGTCTGAGACCAAGTGGCCAAAAAAGATGGCATGACAGCTCCACAGGAATGGTTACATGGTCTCTGCTTCATTTTATTAAGATGGCAAAGGGCCTTATTTTGTTAGTCTTTGGCCAGTAATTTCCAGGCTTATCCTAAGCATTGTGGGTTAACTCACCAGGTTCTTTTGAACCCACTCGTCTACAGTGTGTTCAAAATACAAGCCTGCAGCACTAAAACTGCGACCATTTATCTTTACATGACAAGTTTCTCAAAGAAGCTACCTTATATCTTATGTTGCCTGACCAAAACGCCCCACCAAAAAATCCATAAAGCCCCACAGCCCAAAAATCAAAAAGCCAACAAAGCCAAAAAGCAACAAAGCACAAAAAAGTCTACTGTTACTAAAAAAAACAAAAACAAAAAAAACCCCACACAAAAAAAAACCCAAAACACAACCAAAACCAAAACCAAACCCCAACACACTGCCAGAGAACGAAGCATTCAAGTAGAAGACAATATTGGCACAAAAAAACCAAATTACTTTGAACAGGCTGTAAATAAAACCAGGTGGAAAATTAGATTTTGGCTAACTATCAGAAGAGTGAGATTTGTCTTTCAATAAAGAAGAAAGGCAGAAAAGCCTATCAGGTTTTAATGTAAAACTTGACTGATGTATGAAAGATACTGCATTCATTTCTTTGATAGCAAGAGAATGTAATTGAACATTCAGAAACTAAGTTCCTACCTGATTACAACAACATAACTCTAAGGAAAAGTGGTAAGCATAAAGACAGATTTGGGCAAATTGACAAAAAAAGTCTGAAGAGCTCTGTAGTTATTTATTACATGAAAACCTGATAAGACTGACTTATAAGTTATGAAATTATGTTCATAATTACAAAGTTCTGTTCAGCATAATCTAACCAATCATATTTCCAGGAACATTTTATGTCAATTTCTTTTTTGACAGAAATATAGATGCAAACTACAGCGGCTAATCTGGGGCTGTGAGAACTGTTACACCTCAGCACACAAGCCTCCCTGATAGGATACAAAGCAGACTTTGGCTATCGCTTCTAGTATAGCTGAGAAACACTGATAAAATTAAGCACACCAGTAAAACAGGGAAAGCAATACAAAACTGAAAACCACAGGCAGTAATAGATTTTAGCCTATTTGTCTAGACAAACTCTTATTCAATACTCTATCTTCTCAAAAGGGACTTCTTGACTTCCAATCCAATTTCCCTCACCATATCTGAAGAGAGAATCTTCCTCGTCAGCCCAAATATAAGGATTATATGAGAAGTTTAGTAAGCTTATTCAAAGCTGTGCAAAGCTGTTTTAAGCACTCTGCTTTATTTTACACTGTCTGGATTCCTTTCCACTCCACAGCCAGCAACAATATTTACAGGAAAAGATACCCACTCTCATTCTTACCATTATTTAAAGTAATTTCAAAGGTTTCCCTTCACAGAACGGTTCCTTCCATTCGTTTATTGCTTATGGTGAAACGACTCTGGACAGCCACTTTGCTTCTCTGCATATAAACGCCTGTTTTTACTTCACAGCCAGTCAGCCAGCTGCCCACACCAAATTACGTCACAAATTTAAAGGTTGCATAAGTAAAGCTGGAATATCTTCTTGTACTTGATTATATTCAAAGTCTAATCAAGGTTCTTTAGTCATTAACTGCCTTCTAATTTTTATTCCCAATTTGGTGCTGATAAGAAGGTTTCTCACAGAACTCATCCAGTTGTTTCCACAGAAGGTTTTTTCTACATGTTCCTCACACGCAGCACAAAAAAAAAAAAAAAAATTAAATCAGTCATTTCTGTGTATGAAACGGAGGGCCCTTGTGTGTCCTTAGCCGGGTGTCAGCAGCAGGGGCTGCAGGGGCCTCTGTGAGGCGCGGTCAGGGCTGCCCCGTGCTGGACACGGCACTGGTTCCACCACTGCCCCAGCACAGGGCGCAGCGGCACCTCACCGCCAAGATGGCGGTGCCTCTGGGAAAGCGTATGCACAGGTGTTTTGGCTTCATCTCGACCCATGAGCTCGTCACCCTGTTGTCCAATCCTGCCCAGGCCAACCAGCCACAGCATGAAAAGCAGGCAAGTACAATGAGATCAAGACAGAGGAAAAGGTGCATCATCCTGGAACTGAAAAAAAAAAAAACATCTAAAAGGAGCACTGACCATTACAAAAGACTGCTATACCCCTACCTGCCCCAATCTCAGTTATTTTGAGGTATCTATAGGTACAGACCACTGATGGCTTTATTTATTGCTAGCTTGATTGCAATTATTATTGAGAATACTTCTACATCAGTTCTTAAATGTGGATTGACGGTAAAGAAAGGCAACAGACTTACAACTCTTTAATGTCGGCAGGCTTTCCTTTGCCCTAAGCTGCAAAACATTTAAGATACGGTACAACTGCTATAGGTCTGCTGATTCATTCTTCTCCTAACAGGGATCTAGGAAATACCTGAAAAGCTTACATTTAGAAAAGCACATGTATGTTTTTAACACATACTTTTTACTAATAAGAACCTTCACCTTTTCAAAGCTAAAAGTTGTATTTAAACCTGTGGACGGAGCGGTTTTTCTATATGTGGCTCTAAGTCCTAACAAGATGCCCATGTTATTTCAAACATCTTTTCTTTAAACAAAATCAGGTCACAACAAGAAAAATGTCTTGATTAAAAAACAAATTTCTGTGTATTTTCCACATTAATTTTTGTACAATAAATCTTTCTACTGTGAATGTATTATTGTTCATCGTTCCCTTGAAGTGGGAAGTGCATGAGCATTGGTTTTGCCAGTTTACATTCAGGAAAGGCCAATCTCCAAAAGCACACTGCACCTCCTGTTCGCATGAGATAACATCAGAAATTGCCCGTCTCTCTGAGAAACCTGGCACAGCAATCCAGAAAAGCCCCTACGTCTTAGAGGAAGTGTGAATATGAAAACAAATCTTGAATTATTAAATCAGTGATGATAGTACTTGGAGTTTTCCAGGTTTTCTACCCTGTACCGACAGTACTGCAGTCTGCCTT